TAGTTTACCCTGAATTCAGCTTTGACAAACAAATATGATCGACTGTTTCTAGTAGAATTCCAAAGTTGTTGTCTTGGACCCTCTCAGAGTACCCCCTCTGTATGCTTGCAGAGACCCCTACAGTAAGGAAACATGCAAAACGGTGCCCAAACCTTTGTATTTTAGCTTTATTTATGCCTTACACAGCATCCCAACTCTTTAGCTAACTTAATAACTTTAGCTAAAGTGAATAGTTAGTCTAATTCATTAGTACAGCATTACTGGATCACCTCTGTTTGAAGTGATATAATGTGATATACAACTATCACTGTGTTTAACTACCATAATAATTCTTAGGGTACTGAGTGCATGCTTAATTAGATATATTTTTTAAACATACTGCTCCATTACTATGTTTGACAGGCTGAAGTTGTCGGGTCACCTCCTAAATCGACCATCTTTTACAGGTGTTTTGTGCCAGAAATGGAGTGTCCACTGAAGACTGAAGATACTGAATCTCTACGCCTTGCCATTGATCCCTATTGTGCCTTCATCTAGACAAGAGACATTAACTTAACCACTCTCATATGCTCTGTACCTACATCACCTTCCCTGACAGTCGTAGCTTGGCTCATCTGAGGGTGAAATTATAAGAATGTGTTATTTTGCAAAGTGCTCTCTAGTGTTCCTAAATAAAATATGGCATTGAGGTCATTTCTTTTGAATTAATCCCTTCTTCTGAAATATAAGAACCTCTTCTGGTTTTAATGGCACTTTGGATTTCCTGACTTTCTGTTCCACTTCCAAACCCAAATAGATGCTGACAAGCTGACACAGTAACATGGAAGAGGGAAAGACGTTGGAAAGGACTACTACAAATAAACCTAATGCCTAACAATGAAAAGTGTAAAATAAGAACAACAATAATAATAATAATAAAGATAAAAGATGAAGTAACAAGTTTTTAGTTTTGTTTATTCCAAATGATCATCCAGATGTCTGTGACATGTGATGACAAACACCATAATGGAAGGCCTTAGTCATCACATGCTTAAACTCATCATATATTTTTGCATATGCTGATCAGGCAGTCAGACATGCTGTAACTGTGTGGTAGAAAACAGCATGAACACCATACGGCAGGGGTCTCAAACTCCAGTCCTCGAGGGCATGGAAAAGTTGCATGACTCCAGTCCACCCTTGAGGACTGGAGTTTGAGACCCCTGTCATATGGAATATGAAAGGTGTGGTTGAGCTGCATGAAGACTCTGAAGTTTCTCTTCTCTTCTGGCAGGACAGGAATGTGGCCTTGTCCTGTGAGCCACTGTAAGGATGTACTTAGAGTAGAACTGGACTGTCACCAACCTCAGGCTCTTCACCCTTTTCAAAGACAAAGCAGTCATTTAGATAAAATATTAGATATTGTTTACCTGTAAATGCACAAAGAGAATTTAGAAATGTAATTATTGTCAAGAGTGAACAAGCGCTGATAGTGTAATCTACAGCTGTGGCCAAACGTTTAGAGAATGAGAAGTGTTGTTTGCTTATTTACAAAGTTTGCTGTTTCAGTGATAGTTGAATATCACATTATATCACTTCAAACAGAGGTGATCCAGTAATGCTGCACTAATGAATTAGACTAACTATTCACTTTAGCTAAAGTTATTAAGTTAGCTAAAGAGTTGGGATGCTGTGTAAGGCATAAATAAAGCTAAAATACAAAGGTTTGGACACCGTTTTGCACGTTTCCCTACTGTAGGGGTCTCTGCAAGCATACAGAGGGGGTACTCTGAGAGGGTCCAAGACAACAACTTTGGAATTCTACTAGAAACAGTCGATCATATTTGTTTGTCAAAGCTGAATTCAGGGCAAACTACGCTAAATTAGCGTTTTTTAGCTAACAGCTACAATAAGCATAACAGTTACTGTACGGCTATCTTTTGTTAACATGACGCTTGTTCTTATACATGTAATACATTTATTACCAACCTGAGAGTTTATCCGCTGGTCATTCGACATGACGAATGACTTCTGAAGTCTTAATTCAGCTCAAGACTGTAGATTCCAGTCAGTAACACTTTCGGTCCGCTAGTAAAACGTAGTTCTATTAATCTGCGCTTGAACCGGAACCGGATGTAAGTTCCAAAAAACTGAATTTTGGAACTGAAATTGAATTGTAGAACTGAAACTGAATGGTGAGAAGTGAAACTGAAATTATTCGAGAGCTGAATTTTTAAAGGATAAAATGCAGTTTCAAAGCAAATCAATTCATTTTCAAAATATAAATTCAATTTCAATTTAGTGATGATCATTTTCAAACCATAAATTCAATTTCAAATTAGACTAATTCAAATTCAGTTTTCAAAAGCATTTATTCAAGTTACAATTCAGATTCAATCGGAGCCATTCAAATTCAAATTGAACTTATTCAAATTCAGTTTCTGATGGCACAGATTTCTGCCCATACCATTGACTGTAGAAAACAGTCAATGGTATGGACTAATTGAGCTCAGAAATGTAATGGCCAGCAGGGGGCATTAACACTTTTTCTGACAGGTTCATGTTCTGAGGTGCTATTTTCAGTTTGTTTTTTAATACAATGTTTTTTTTAGTGAATTTTGATTCCACTGGGATTCATAAAAAGACTGACAGCAGCCAGTGCTACCCCTCAGCCTACTAACAGATGTACCCATGGTATCAATTTGAAATTCCTACATCGCATTCACAAGATTTTCAGAAAACTTGACCTATGACCTTGATCTTAAGACTGAGGTCACATTCAAGATTTTCAGTAGATATAGCTATGGTAACAATTTGGAATTGGTATGTCATTTCGTTCTTGAGTTATTGCATATCACAAACTTGGGCGTCCATGTCACCTCCCTGCCAGGATGACGATGACGCATAATCAGCCTTTTGCAGCTGAGGGGTGATAAAGGAATATAAAACAGTTTTGTGATCGACATATTGCTCGTGCGATATCAGCTTGCAGCGTTCCTCACATTCTCTGTCTGATCAAATCACCTTAAACACAAAATAGCGAAAAGCCTCAGCTCAAAACTTCATAATGAGAGAAGGTCTCTGTGTGTTGGCCCTGAGACAGCCTGGTGACTTGTCCAGGGTGATCCTTGCCCTTCACTCTGTGACCGATGGGATGTACTCCAGACCCACAGTAACCGGAAATCCAATAAATGGAAGAAAAGGGATGGGAGGATCATGTTATATACAGTATACTAAATACTGTGGGATATACGAGGTACCAGGGTGGCTTTAACTTTTACTTACAGGATCTAAAGTGCTGCTCACAGACTGTCTCACTATTAAAATGTAGTTTAATCATTAGGAGTATATTTTAACATATATAATACCTTAAGTTTATTTTCAGTATTGTGGTATTCAGAACAGAGTTGGACAGTGTGAAACAGGACAAACGCAAAGAATCGGAGGTGGAATTACAGGAAAAAAGAATAAGACTTAAGCATGTTTACTCTCAGAGGTGCATGTAAAGGCTTTATACTGTTTTGGTCTCTTGCATCCTCTGCTGGTACAGAGAGAAACTCCATCTGCTGCAACACTGGTGTAACACAGAGATTTGTGCACTGTCACTGTGATGTGGGCTTTGACTCACTGAGCAGAGTTTGCCTCCTTCAGTATTTGGGTCAGCGTGACTCACCGCTGTCACAGCTTCAAGGTTTTATGTAACAGTGACTAAGTTCCTTACAAGTGGACAAACTCACCTGTCTTTTTGTGTGTTTTGTATGCTTATGTGGACAAGTATCATCTTGAACCTCTTAAAGAGAAGAATGGGTCTGGACTGTGCTGACTTCAAATCTTCAAAGCGCTTTTTTGCGAGTTTGGTCTCGGTTTCAGGATTCATAATAGAGTCTGGTTTAGGCTGGGATTAGAGGGGTTAATGAATACATTATACCAACAACTGTTCTCACAAAGATTTAAAAAAAAAAAAAAAAATGCACGTGTCTTTAATTCAAGTCCCTCGCCTCTCACCTGCTGCCCCTGAGCATCAGATGACTCTGAGCAACACAAAGCTCAAAAGATGACTCAGTGCCTTATGAAAGGACAACATGAGCCAAGTTACTGCTTTAGCCTGCAGTCACAGCTGCTGCCATCTTTACCTCAACTTTCACCTAAATTCCAAGTTCACCTGCTTCCACTGCAACAATAACAACACATACTCTTGTGAATGTAGTAGTCATGCCTACAGGTGAAGACTTCAGGGGAGTTGCAGCCAAGTTAAGTTACCGTGTCGTGTTGTACATAGTGCTGACATGGGACAGTTTTCCAGTTTCATTATACTATTTATGACTGTGCAATGATAATAAAGAGTTACCTTATCTTATCAAAGTCACCTGTGTGGGAAAATACCTGCCAGCAAGCCCATGCTTCCTCTTCATCTTGCCTGAGGTCATGAATGTTATTAGCATTAGCTAGGATGGGTGCTAACAGCCTCCCAGTAGCCAGTGTTGTTACATTACTGTGTCAGTCCATTACATGCGCTGAAATTCAGTGTAAGAGGATAACCAGTTAGGAATATAAAAGTTAAGCTGCAGCCCCACCCAAATGTCCTACTGAGCACAAACACATGATCTTCCTTCTAGTGTTCAAGTTTGAGCACAAAACCAAAAACCAGCCCGATAAGACTTCAAAGCCATCACCAACCACGTGCAGGTAGGACCTGAGGCCCCAATGCTTTTGTTACCTGCTGAAAGTGAGGTCAGGTCAGCTTACACTCAGCTTTGGCATCACACTGGACTGTTTGCTGCCTTTGTGTTAGCATGCTGTCCGTGCAGATGCTTGCAAAGAGCTAATGTTGTGTCAGGAGTATAACATAGCCATTTGCATCTTGGATGCAGTTTGGACTTTACCATGAAAATAAAAATAAGTGGTCATGTCCTCGCTCCTAAGGTGTTATAGACGACTCCACCATCCTCCTCCTCCCTTCACACAATGAAATCAGCTGATTTGACAAAAAGGCATTTTTTTAATGGGTTTTTTTTTTTTCTTTTACTGCCCATCATTCAGATTATTGAGGATCCTTTCAATAAATTCAATAAAAAAACACAACTGTAATCGCTTTTTACTCGTCCGCCACTTCACTGGTCCTACAGAAGCACAGGTACCACTGCTTTTGCATGGCAGCGTGAACATTACAGGATAAATCATGCTGAGCTTCTGTAGTTGGGCAAACAAATACGCAGAACAGGGCCCCTTTAGGATACATATCTTCTGATGTGGGTGGGGCTTCTGTTCTGAGATGACCACAATAGGGATATATGCTATTAATGACATCGTACAGTTGTAAGAGTAGAAAGGAACTAAAAGCACTTTGAGATTTTGGCTCTTGGTGATTACTTGTAAAAATGTTGAACTCTTTATTTGAAACGTTGGCCATGTTTAACCATTAACATCCATCCCACTAACAGAATATATAAATGGCAGAAAATAAGGAGCAGCGTAAAGGGTCCCTTTTGAGGACACTGTTATGTGTGTTCGCTGTACTCCGTGGAAAGGATTTTGTATTTGTACCCCACACACGCCTAAATCACACCCCAGAGGATCATGTGAGAGCACTTCAGTTAGAGGAGGTGCTGGCTGGTACTGTAAATGATAAAGTAGCTGCAATACAACAAAAATAAGGACAAAAACAAAAGATGAATGTTTACTTGCAGTGTTTGACCAAAGTTTTCAGAACTGCTTATTTTGTAGAGTTTCAGCTCTATGAATAGCTGTCAGCAGTCCTTCAGTTTTCTGCATATTGAACTTTTTATAGAAACAGAGCACTCCTACAGCAAATTTATACTGCTACAGGTGTAAAGAGTACAGTAAACAGAACACAGACAAAAAAAATACCAGAACCAATTAGCATCAGCATTATTATTATTATTATTATTGTTGTTGTTGATCCCACAGCGAGCGTCAAAAGATGAAGAACAGAACATGTCTACATTCTCTTGGTTTATATCATCTAGATGTCCTTTCAGTCCTTTTGTTTAACAGTCTGATGTCCAATCAGGTATCAGATCCTCAAAGACCTGGAAGTTCACTGGGTTTCCTCCTTTAAAGCTTTTCTACAAAAAAAATTATGATGAGCGACGATCACTGGCAGCATCAGATCCAACCAACCACGTCATCAGATCAATAATAAATCAACAAAATAAAAGTACAATCAGGATACGTATACGTACATCTTTATATAGATTTATAGACTTAGATCTCTCCCAGGAATAGAAGCACTAATATATACATACACAACTGCTGTGGGGCTCATTGGGTCCAATCAAAAAGAGAGGCTTAAAGACGAATCAGAATGAAGCTGCAGGAAGTCACAAAAAGTACACAAAAGTCTCTCCGGGAACTGACCAGGACCAGCTGACCACAAAGCAGACTGCATTTCCCAGCATGCAGCAGGTCTCTCACAGGCAGCTTCAAAGTAGAACTTTAGAAATACTGAGGCCCAGAGCTCCTCGCACCAAAGAAATTAGGAGCTACGAACCAAAATAAAAAATTTACCGGTTGAATTAACTTAAATTTTCCTGCTTTAATGTCGTCTCAGCAGTTTCAGGTATAATTTTGGTAGAAAGTATCATAATTGCTATCATGTTATAATTTTCTGTCCAATAGGCACAGACTGTACATAAAAGATGGATGTAGCCTCTGAAATCACCCACTGCTGGCACGAGCAAGAGGGCAATCTGAGAATCCCAGAAACACTGCACAGCTTAAACTAACCCTCACTTTGCTTTATGAGACTAATAGGAAGAAGAATTAAAATGAAAATAACGTTGTATTCAAAGCAGTGACAGAGCCCAACAACTCATCAGGAAAGGGAGATCACAGATAAGTAAGAAGTATGGTTGTTTGTCCACAGACTTCTTTTTCTAACAACATTTGTCCCCCGTGTTGGCTGTTAGTGAGAATGCAGGTATTCACTTAAATATAGAAGCTACGTCCATGTTTTATATAATTTTTAAACCAAAATTTTAAGTTTTAAGAATCAGAGGAAATAATTTATTAGAATGTAAAATTTTGAGCTAAGAATTAAAACAATGTGGAAAAATTAATAATTCATTAATCAATTATTTAAAAAAAAAAAAAAAAAAAGACCCCCCAACACAAAAAGAAAAAAAAAACCTTTTTCTTTGATTTCTAAAATTGTAATTTGACTATTTATGGATTTTGGACATTTGACTGTTTTGTTCCATTTCCTGATCTTTTATAAACCTAATTATTGTTGGATTAATCAACAGAAGAACTACCACATTAAATTATTATAAAAGTAATCAGCTGTTGCTCCAACAAAAATTATTTTAACCACTCAAATTCGCCAAATCTTTAACTGAGGACAATCTGAGTCCAACATGCTAACAGCTCACAAATGAAGAAGATGGGCAACTTTTAGAAGCAACACATCGGTTTAGCAGCTGTATTAGCAGGAAACACCCAAGTAATGAGGCTGCCATGGTAAAATATGCTAAGCTACAAATTATTTCTTTAGTCAACTTTTATTAACCTGCACTTGATGCTATATTTTTCTGGTTCAAGCACAGGAAGTGAGCGCCCCCAATTTCTCATGGTCTTAGACTGAAGTGCATCAGAAGACAAAACTCCAGGTTAATTACTGAAAACATCTGAGGTGTGACTTAAAGGACTATAAACTAAAAAACAAAATAAAACAAAAACAAAACAGGGAATAAAAAATAAAATAAAGAGACTTATATGATTTAGAAGGTCATGATTAGCAGAGGTAAACATTTTACCAAATTGGAACAAAGATCAAAAATAGAACCAGCTATTTCAGTCCAACCAAACTCTGTAGAAAAAATGTTTAATTTAAAGTTACGACAGTTTGAGGCTCAGCAGCATTTTATCCGAGTTGATTACAGTAAATCAACTAAAACGAATGTTTCAGAGATATTTCAGTGGGTGGAGTTGAATTGAAAACTTCAAGCAAAACCTAAACTTCACTGAATATAGCAGATCCTTTGTTTATAGAAACTAATTTGAAAAATGTTTGTCTAAATGATAAAAGCATAGTGCTATAAGTAGCTTCTGAATTTTCCAATAGTCAATATGGAAAAATCACAAGGTCTTTGTTGATACTCAAAAACAATTTTTAAACCTGTAACTAGAGCTGAAAAAAATAACTTAGTTTAATATAATCTGAGTAATTTAGAAAAACGAGACATTTTTTATGGTTTTCTCACATTTTATATAATAATATAACTCTTTTTAAAAATCGAAATAATTGTCAAGTTACATCTGCTCCTGATGCCCTTCAAACATGACTTCAGCATAACTTTTACTACTTGTGAATAAAACTGTATTATCCAATGTTCCTCGTGCCAACATGTTAGCGGTGCTTAAATCTGCATCATTGATGTCCTATAACTATACAGGGGAACAACAACAAGGAGGACTCCTTAAAATATTGTAACCAGGATATGCACACTCATCAAGTGGACTTCAAAGCCACATAACATGAATTATCACGACATGGCCTACAAACCACCCAGATTCAGTCATGCATTTACAGAAGACACCAGAATAAACCGATGCATAGGTTCTGTGGGTTCCAATAATAGTGGAAATAAAGAGAACTACAAACAATTACTTTAAAGTTGTTTTGGATTAATGTATATGTTGGTCACCAAGTAACAAGAAATGCCAAAAACCTATTTCTTGGTATTCATGTAGTATCTTGTCCACAATATCTCTTTAACAAAATTATGTTTAAAGCATTCTTGTTGATGCAAATATCTGTGTAAATAAATCTAAAGACTAAGTCTAGACTAAATCTAAGTCTTGAAACATGGCAGCGTTTACCTTATAAAGTACATTCAAACCATCAGTCCCCTGTGGTAGTTTTGTTCTACAGTTCAGCTCATCATAGCCAGCTATGTTTAGCAAAAATGCAACCCACATTTGTCAAGCCGCTTCTTCTGAAACATCAGTGTTGCCTCATAAAGTTGCCAACAAACCGCTGTCTATTTGTGACTTTTGCTCTAAAAAAAATTTGATGCTTATTTACACAGCAAACCAGAGTTTTTCCCCACAGTAACATTTTTCATTGTATTCCACAAACTCTCACGTTCAGAGGAAACATTTGGAGTCCCAGGAGTGGCACAAATCTCCAATCTAAGGTAAGAGCAATCAAGTGACCTCAGACCATATGCCACTTAAAAATATATATATATATATATATATCTCAATATATCTCAAACCCAGTCCTTGTGTCCTCAAACTCTTTCTTGTTCTACCTTATTTAAATCTAAAGCCAGATGCAAAGTCACGAGTGTTAGCATTTGGCTCTTTGAGATGACCAGAAACCAACTAAATACTCAGATCAAATACACCAGACAATCACTGACCCAGAGTCAGTAAATTCGAAACTCCACGATCATGGTTCAACCACTGTGAGTCCACTGAACTACTGATAAACCCCGCCATCCTGGGAGACTAAGCAGAAAGCAAATCAAACACAGCCAGGCCAAAGATGCTAACAGCTTCCTGTTCTGCCTAATGACATTTTCTGACCAGGAAGTGAGTACCAACTAAAATAATCAAATCAAAAGTTCTTTCTGTAAGACTGAGTCACACAAAAACTTTATCCACAATCAAAATGCATGAAAAAAAAGGCAAAAAGACGTTTGCTGCAACAACAGAAAAGTCTCAAAAATGCTTAAAACATAAATTTAAAAGGGCAATCAAGTAAATTTATAAAATAAAACAAGCAATGTTGAGTTCCAGCGAAAAAAAATCAATCTGTCAACACTTTCAAAGTGTGTTTGAGTTTTCTCTGTGCTGACACACTCTGATATCTCTTCAGAAACCAAACTAAACTTAACAGTTTAGCAGAGAAATAAAAATCTGCTGGTCAGCCTCATTTGTGATTGGTTGGAGGGGGTAGGAGAGGGGCAGAGCGATCATTGGTGATGGTCCTTCTGAGCTTTACTCCTCTAAGAAGGGTCAACATGTTTCTGTTGCCTCCTCCATCTCCTTCTTCTTCTTCTTCTTCTAGGGTGACCTGCTCAGGGTTTTGGTCCTGGCTGGAGGGTGGAGGAGCCTGGGGCTGGTAGTTGATGTTGTTGGGCACACCGGAGGGCTCTGCCTGAGTAGTGTAGGCCTGGTGCTGCTGTTGCTGCTGCTGGAACAGCTTCTGTTTCTGCTGCTGGTTCAACTGCAGCTGATACTGATCGTGCTGAGGCTGCAGCTGCTGGGCTTGCTGAATCTGGGGCTGTTGGAACTGCTGCTGCTGCTGCTGATGTTGAAACTGCTGCTGAATCTGTTGCCATTGCTGGAACTGTTGCTGCTGAATCTGTTTCTGCTGCTGGAACTGTTGCTGCTGAATCTGTTGCTGCTGAATCTGTTGCTGTTGCTGGAACTGTTGAATCTGGAATTGCTGGTTGTGCTGTTGCTGTGGTTGACTGTATTGCTGATGTTGCTGGTATTGCCTCTGTTGCTGTTGTTTGACACTGTTCCCTCCCTCAGATGGCAGTGAAGGAACAGTGGGTATGGGCACTGGGATGGGCATCTGGCCTGGGACAATCTGGTAGTATGGGGAGGAGGAGGGTGGTAAAGCACTAAGGCTCTGGGTGGAGGTGCAGAGTTTACTGTGACCTAAACCTACAGAAGAGGGCACTTTGAAAACGTTCTCATCGCTTCCGTTGGTTCCGCCGAGGGGTTTGAGTGGAACCTGCGGGGTGGAGATGGGGATGGGAACCCCACCACTGATTGTTCCTCTGCGAAAAGGCGGCTTAGATGAAGGTTTGCGCCTGATGGTTGCCGTGTGGGATGGCATCTGGCGGTTAGACACACCACTCAAGTCGGACTCAGCCAATAGGCTGACAGTAGAGGCAGGACGCTTGGAGTGGATGAACTCCCGGTACTGGAATCTGAGGTCAGAGTTTCTCGGGATGGTCGATGACTTGTCGAAATCTGACTGGCTGTTGCCGTGGGAGAGGTGATGTAAGGAGATAGAGTCAGTGTCTCCGTGGAGAGAGATGGACTCATAGTCGACTGCAGAGATGGGGAGAGAATGTTAAAATGTTAGTTGCTCGGCTTTCAGGCAGACCTTTCATTACCTCTGGATTATCTCAGTGACATTTTTTTTTTTCTTTGTAAAGGGTTCTCATCTGCTCACCTGACAGACAAACAACAGAAGCAGCAGGAGCACATAATCACATCAGTGACTCACTGTCATGTTTGTGAATGAACAATTAGGGGATGCATCATTGTGGAAACTCTTATCAAACAAAAACAGGGCAACATGCAACCTAATTACTTTTAAAACGCATGCAAAGCTCCAGTTCAATGTTCCAAATAATAAGGTTAAAAACAGACGTCAATTCATGGCAACGACATTAAATTTGAAAAGGTCAAACACACACACAGACACACACAGGAGGAAGTAAATTACAGACAAAGCAGCTGAATTTGTTTCTAATGTTCTGTTTGTTTTGGGTTCCAAAATTAAGTAAAAAAAGGGACTACGTAATTTAAATGCTTCTGGCAGCTTCTCATCTGCTAGCATCAACACCAGAAATATGAAATGTGAGTAATTAATGTCTTCTCTTTGCAAGCAAGTGTGATGGGAGAAACCTCAGTCTCCTATAAGCTGGGTGACTAAGCTAAAAAAAAATATATAAATAAATAAATTCCATACCTGGATTAACGTTGTATCCAAAAATGTATTAATTAACTTAATGGGTAAAATAAACAATGTCAGCTTGTCCGCCTGATGCCCTCACAGCAGTGTCACAAGATTTAGCCAATTTTTACATCACTTTATACTTTGATACAAAAGGAGCTTTATTTATTTATCTATTTATTTAAAAGGATCTGCTGGGTAAGCAAGAAGTGACTATCCAGAGAAGTGTTGCCTCCTGGGCACCATGCTTCACAAGTGAATCATCGATAATTTGCTGATGTTTAAAATCGCAGTCCTGAAGCCTAGAAAATGCTTATGTTTTGTAACACTAACACTGTAAAATTGAGAAGAGAGATTTTATTTTCCTTGTGCTTGATAACCGAGATAACAAGAGGAAACTGCAGCCACTAATGATTAGGTTATTAAAATTGGCCATACAAGTGCCCTGATAGGCACCAAAATTAATAATTTTATCGTTGCCAAAAAGATTCTAATATTTGAAAATAAGGACAACGTTTATTGCTTCTTTTAAATAAACACTGCTCTTTCAGCTGATGTAAGATCTTTAATAGATGAACCAAAAGTAGATTTGATGGTATGTTGGACGTGACATAAGCAGACAGGCAGGCAGATATACAGGCAGTCAGAGACCTACCATAGATAGGAGGATCTCTCTTTACAGCTGGAAGAGAAGGAAGGCAGTTTAACCAAGAAAACACAAAACTACTCAAAGAAATACAACAGGAAAAGAAGTAAAGATGAGCTGATACACCAGAAAAGCACAGAAAAAACAAGTGAACAGCAGGCAGGTCAAGAGAGTCAGTTTCACTGTCAGAAATCAGAAATGACACCCACTAAAGGGTAAATCCGAGAAATTCAGCCAGACAAGCAGCAATTCACACCAAGGTTATGGCTCCGTGAGAGAATGGGTTTCCATTTTCATAATAAACACAACATCTAATTGCTTTATTGTTGGCGGTGCTGCTGCCACTTTAGGTTGTATTTGGATCACATGATGTTCGTCTCGGCCACATAGTTGGTTCAAACAGCTTTTAATCAAGAGCTCAATTCGATTTTCTATTATCTCTAGGACAAAAACAACAGCAACAAAAAAATCCTAACAGCACAGTGAGCTGTGTTTAGTATAAATAAAAAAGAAGTGTTGTGCTTTAATGTACTCACTGTGGGTGTGTATAGTGTCCTCGGAGCAGGACGGGGTGGTTGTTTGGGTGCTATAGCCGCTGGAACAGTGCAGAGAATCTCTGCTGCTTCTCGGGGCGTCAGAATTCAGCGCACCCAGTGACAATGCCAGCTGATCCTGGGCCAAGCAGTGCTAAAGGAGTGAAAGAAGGAGACGGATGAGGTTACAACTTTTCAACTAACGAAAGATCTATATACTCCCGCAAGATCATGCTTCTCATTCACTGTTGACCATCCAGCGGTCAAAGCTTCTGTCCAAAGTGACATCCGCAAAACTTTTGTCAAGCTTTTGAAAGTGTGGTTGGAGGACAGGGGGTGTTTGTGCTATTTTATGTAAATATTTTAAACGTATTCAGCATTAATTTTTAGCAACCCTTTTATTTATTTATTTTTATTATTTTTTTTATAATAAACTACTTTGGATTGAAAAGTGCTATAAAAATAAAATTCAATAGCAGAAATAGGACAGAAAGGCATTTTCTTGGCTCATAATCGGCCTTCGGGATTGTGACGAGGTAAATAAGCACAATATAGTAAAGGCAGTGCATTTAGATCATAATCATGAATAAAAATACGTTTTATTTAACGTTTCATTTTTTAAAGTGTTAACATTCTGTAAATGTTTTCATTATTTCCAGCCAAATCAACTTGAGACACCAAAAATTCCTCTATGGAGGAAAATCCCTGTAAAAGAGCTTTTGCATATGATCAACCTAGCTAACAAACAAAGCTAACAAAGTGGCTCACAACTTTGTTAGTTTTGAGACTTTTTAATAATCTATGCTCGTCCTCTGCCTCCTGCTGGGTTATCAATATGCCTGCATGTTCAGGGCTCCAGGTAAAATAAGTTCAGGTGTCTTTTAATTCATAAAGTCAATTAGTGATGAATGTAATTTGAGTATTTGGAACAAGTTTTTTTATTTTTTTATTTTGCTTTAGAGAAAAACCACAGAAGCAGCCCGCTCTGAATGTCATCTTTGTAGTTTTAACTCCATGACTGTCAGACTCAGAACATCACCTGTGCGTTTAACCACAGGATGTTTGCACAAGAACCACCAACCACCTTTTAGAGCCTGTTTAGCACCAAAAACACCAGTTCACCACAAGGATCTGTATGCTGGCTGAGAACATCAACTGTGACAATTTCACACAGATGAAATACAAAGAACTTCTCTTTTTTCCCCGAAGCACTTAAACTGTCACAGTGGAGTGCCATAACAGCACCTCCTGGTTCTTCCTGTCACTCCCTGAAAGCAGGAAGCAAGAACATGGGAGGACAAAGAAAAGGAGGAAAGCAAAACAGACAAGGTACTGATAACAGTAGAAAGAAACAAAAGAGAAGAGGAGCCGCCATAAGATTAGGGGTGCAGATCATTTTAGTCCTCTGATCTCCTGCTGCCCTCTGGTGGATGATTTGGTTATTTTAAAGATTCAATTCCGCTGTTTTTGAACTCTATAATATACCATTGAAAATACACTTGCATGCATTTTCTGACTTTTATTTATTATGTTTTGTTTTAATAAACAGTTTTTCTTAGTTCATAGACTGGATCAGTAAACAAAAAATATAAACGTAAAATAAACTCGTGTCTTCAGGGATGTTTAGTACAGCATTATTTTACTTTAATATTTATCATTAGTTTTGATTTTTAATTCGTTCTCGTGAATTTTTTTGTTACAGTTCCATTTCATTTCAGCAATTTCCACAGTGGTTTTTCTCATTTTAATTCAGCTGTTATTAGTTTGTGGGTTTTTTGTTGTTTTATTTAAACAGAAATTTAAATACATTCATGTATTGTTTTGTATTTTTCTTTTAATTTCTATTTAGCTTTTTATTAGTTTTTCACTTTAGTGTTGTTTGTTTGCTGCTACAGCTTTGATGTTTAAAAATGTTTAATATTTTGGGTTTTTGTTTTAACATTTGTGTTGTGAGTGTTGCAGGTTTACATTATAATACACAAACAACCCTCCCAGTCTCAATAAAGATGGCATCAATTCCTTCCGTATGCTTTCCAAGCAAACACAGTTTGTTTGTTGTTTTTTAAATTATTTTAGACAGCACACAAATACTGTTTCAGTTAGTTTCATGTAGACTGAAAGATACAGATGAGATTTTACAAGAACAATCACCAGAATCCAAATATGCTTTCTGTGGGTTTTACCTTTCCAGATGCAGACATGGCGCGAGCTCGCTCTCCATGTATGTAGGCATTGTGTGGAGGGGCCAAGAGGCCGTTCTCCGCCCCTCCAGTTCCCCCAGAGGCCAGCTGATTGGTGGACCCAACTGAATCCTGTCATTAAGAAACCAAGTCAGAGCGGATCAAAGGTACAAATCATCAAATGTAGAATCACAAATCAACCGCAGAGAGTACAGAGAGTATAGTTCTGTTCAGCCATCATAAAAGTCTCTGGTGGAAAGAAATTGACAGAATATACATTTGTAATAAAAGCTTGTAACTTACATCCATGTCAGCACAGCCATCAGTTTTAATCAGATGTGTAAGAAACAAGCTCTATTTTCTATATATCAGACTTGCATAATGGCTGCTGATGTTAGACCATCAACACGACATGTTAGCAGTTCAGCCAGCGTTTTACTGAGAGAAACATCACACAGAAAATACTTATTTGTCATTTTAAAAATATCAATAAAAGTTCCTCATTCAACAACAACATGAACCCTTAATGATTTTGTTCTTTCTCACGTAATTTTTAGATAATTTCCTCAATTTTAAACATAAATTTACATTTTTATTACAGGACGACTGACAAGATACCACTGACAGCAATAATGACACCAGTTTAAAAGGCCATTACGCCAAAATTCAAGAACAGAAAGGGCGTCTTAGCGGCGGGAGACAAATAACAGGTTTTTGAGATAAGGAGAAGGCTTGCTTTTGAGGTGGGATGAAGCAATCGTGTTATTTATTAAATAACAGTGTTAACAAGGAAAAAAGTAAAATAAATATGTCACGTTTGGCTTTGTGTAAAGCCATTAGTGGACGGGTTTGATTTTTTTTCTCTTTTTTTAAATAAAACAAATTATTACATTCACTGCTACTGAAAATAAGGAGTGGGATGTTATGAATCTTTTAAATGTCCAGGTGATCGTATATCAAAAATATATTATGGGCAGTTTTTTAGAATTCCTAATCCAAAAATCCAACATCAACTAAGCTAAAATGACCACAGCATTTCCAGCTAAACTCCTGGCTTAGAGAAAGCAGTCAGGGAAGAGACCTGACTTTTTTTTCCTTAAAAAAAAAAAAAAAAACTCTAAAGAAGTGTCATTTTGAGTCTAAAAGCTATCAAGAAAAGTAAGGTTTTTTTCAATTGAATATTAGTACAGTACTTAACTGTAACACATAAATCTGAAACATAAGCATAAAAAAGTTGACACAAAACCACTTTTAAAGAGAATGAAAAAAAGAAAAGAAAAGACACTGATAAATAAACAAATACTGCAAATACTCACACAATTACAGAGTCCCTAGAACTGTACTTGTGAAGGCTCAGAAACATTTTTTATGGAATGGGATCAAGAATTACGTCTAAAATTACAACAAAATGGATTTGAGATATGAGATCCATCCTGGGACACTGAGGGTGGAGGAGGCCGTAGACAATTAAAGGTGAACTGAAGGTGTGAGCTGATGAAAAAATGTGGAATTAAAAAAAAACAAAAGAGGTAAAATAGCTGGAGCCAATGTGACATTGAAACCAGATTCACACCAATGGAAGACAAAAGGGTCAAAATCACAGGACGGCACTCGGGTGGTCGGGAGGAATGTAATAGTTATATAGTTTTTTCCTCACAGTTTTCAAATCCCTGCGGCTAAAGCGGCGACTCTCAGCGGGGCGGTGGCCATAGCCAGCTGCGTAACCATAGCGACCACGGCTGCCGTGACGGCCGAGGCGAGAGGGGGAGTTCCCTTCGCTGAGAGATCGACCGCTTTCATCGCAGCCGGTGAGCAGATAGGGGGAGGAGCAGCGCTACACACAGGAAAGGGTTAGAGTGGCATGTGTTTGTTTTTGTTGTTACTGTTACAAGCTTTTATTTTGAAGATCCTTAAAGCTGACAGTGTCATTTTAAAATGTGGATGAAGCCTGAAGAATGTGGAGTGTACAGCATTGCAGGAATGGTATATTTAAGTGAAATGCACCTTTAAAGATATTGAAAATATTTGACCAGAATTTGCTTTATTTATTGCGGAAATTTGATTTAAAACTATAAAGTATATAAGTTTGAATGAAATAAGAGTATCTTAATATCACTGATGTACAGTATATGGCTAGAAATCAATGGACAGCCCCAAATGCTACACTTGTGATTTCTGGGCATTAATCTGCTGCTAACATTTGCCCACATTTGTTCCCATTCAGCCAGAAAGGTTTTAAAGTCCAACAATGAGGTTGGGGGATCTGGCCTAAAGCTGAGCGCACACACACAACTGTCAGGCTGATTTTAAATGCACTTTGGAAGCGTCGGCCATAAGCTATTTAAGAAAGATGGACATAACCACTGTGCCCTCAGCTATATTTTGCATTTTGAACTGTCAGTACAGCATTTTTGGTGCTGCCATTTTACATATATACACCTTTTTTAGCCAAATGTTAAAATATTTGGACAAGAGGATGAAGTGGTTCTCTGTTAACGTTAGCAAGCACAGTATGGATGCAGTGCAGAAAGTTCATCTGAATTAGAAGGAAGTTGCTTTCTACAATTATATAAGAAAGATTTACCATTACTGTCCTGGAAATAAAAAAACTGAGCTAAAAGACACAGGAGTGTGTGAAAAGGGATGACCATGTACTTTTGGCCACATAGTGTACAATATATTCTTAACAGTATTTTTGAGAACAACAGAAATAAAATTGTTGTAACAAAGGTTAAAAAGTGCGTTACCTGCATGTGTAGTCCATCCACAGCACAGCTGATAGAGTCCAAAGAGGGAACATGTCTCACTGATCCTGACTGGTAGCTATGAGGCCAAGACACAGAAAATAAGAAATGAAGAAAGAAAGAAAGAAAGAAAAAAGCAGCGACTGTCTGGAATGTGAAAATCACATAATAAAGAACTTATTTAAGAATTAAAAGCCATAAACACTGCAAAACACAACAAAGTGAAAGAGGAATGAAGTTGCTGCTATAAGCTCAGTGAAAGTTTGAAATGGAGCCGAAAGCCAGTAATATAACACGCTTTGTTGTGATTGTCTGTTTACACTCTCATCCTGGACATCTCGAGTTATCACCTCTGCACAACGTGCACACTCATGTGCGTCAGTCATAAAAAGGCACGACTTTATGACTGTAACTGTCCAATCTGACACTTTGATTATCACAACTCAGAAAAATATGTAGTCTGAGCCTGGATTTAACTTTGACTTGCATCAACTTGCACAGAAACAAAGTTTAAGGTGTGATTTTTAAATATAGTGCAGTACACACAGTAAAGTTACAAACACTGTGACAAAACATCAAAATGAAAAGAAAGCAGCAATGCACACTGATATTATTAGAATGTGAAATGAAGTGATATGAAATACTGTATGTTGTAAACTGATATCAGCTTTGGTGTGTAACCCACCTGCTGATGCTGCTCTTCCTGGAGAGAGTGTTACTGGGAGAAGCTGGAGGTGTCTGATAGGTGTAGCTGAAATCAGAACCTTTAAGGTCCAGGATCACCTGTAATACACACAAAAGACAGCTGTGGTGTTTTTCCTTTTATTTTCCAAAGTTGGGATGTTTCTACTGAAGGCATAAAGCTCAGAAATACAGGAAGTGCTGAAGCTGGAACTATATTCAGTGGTGGATTAATACACATTTGCAACTCCAGTGGGTATTACCAGAACCAAGTTAGTTAATGACAGTGTGGGTCAAAATAAAATACAGCGTGTAGTTTTTTGGACAAAGATGGGTCTTCGCAGATAAACCATGCTTTGCATACATACACAGCACTTTCAGTAGAGCCAATCACTGTTGGTCGTAGTCTTTTTCTGACATTTGCTGAAAATAAGACACAAAATAAAAAAACAAAACATCATCTGCCTTGAAATTGCTAATGTACTTGGGCGGGGCCTTCCAGGCATATTAACAGCCACCTAAATGTTTCTGGCAGCTTGAGCATTTTTTATAATCTGTCAGAGAAAACAATGTCTTCACTCTTATGTTGAAATTTAAGGTTCTTTTAATCTTTTTCATTCAAGGGGGAAAAATGAATTTTTTTATTTTTTTTTTAAATGCAAATTCGTTTTTTTGTTGTTTTTTTAAATGACAAGGACCTGCTGATTAAATGGTTTGTCATGCTGGGCTACTTCTTTAGAGAAGCCCCACCTCCATGTGTTGAATTGCTTTGATCTGCAGTAAGCGGAAGAACCACAAATCATAACCTGTTGCAAAAACTGATCTGTGTGCTGCAACATTAAGTTCACCAAGGTTGCAGAACAAGAGCTACTGTCAACTTGTCACAGCACTTGGCAATTAAAATATTTGTGGATGAGAGTCTCCCACCACAGAGAATCCAAATCTGGGGAAAACAGAGTAATAGCACTAAAAGGGTAATATTAGGCCTGCAGAGGGTGCTAGAGAAAAACTGAGAGATCAGTAAAGATGGAGAAGATGGTTAAGGTACCTGCTCGCTGGCTGGTGGAAGTTTATTGGGTTCAGCTGTCAAGTTTGTCAGATCTTCCAGAATGGTCTGCAGGTGTGTCACCTCACCCAGCATGTTGATCTCATGGTCCTACAAGACAAGCTCCTTTTATTTTACTTTGCCAGATTAGAAAAGTCTGAAAAAGTCTTGTTCTGTATCCCTCTTTCACACACAGACACACACACACAACTGACCAGCACAGGCTTTAGCATGCTGACAAAACTACAGTATCGAGCTCTTTCTTCTATCAGTGCTCTGCACACAGCTCGCTTCTCGGTGTCCTCCAGCACAGCGTAGCGCACATTGACGTCCTGCAGCGCGTTGTCCAATTGTCCCCGAGCTTCATCCTTCCCTAAAACACAAACAGGAGGAACTGATGGTAGATCGGTCCAGATGATAGAAATATATGGAGACAGCAGAAATGTCTGTAGTCCAAAGCAATTCTGATATTTTAGCTTCATGATACAAATCACCAGTATTACACACACACACACTCCTGGAACAATGATGAGAGGACAAGAGTATGTAGAAGAAAAGGCTCATGATAGAGCCATCGTACAGACGGATGATGGCCCTAAACGTACAGCAAACGCAACTCAAGAAACCCTTAAGGCAAAGAAATTGACTTCTCCACTTCAGCTCATCTAAAAATGTTTTTCACTGCAGGAAGGAAAAACTGAGGATAAAATTACCACAAACAAGCAGAAACAGAAGGCAGCTGCAGTAAAGATCTCAAAAAGAATCCCAAGGAATGAAACAGCTGTGTGTGGAGCAAACCACACAGAAACTTTACATAGAAATTCGTGCAAATGAATGATAGGCATCGTTTTAGTTTTCCAAACACTTTTAAACCTGTGAAAAATGCTATGTTTAAAAACCATCTGTAATTTTGTAACAGTATATACATTTATTTTGTGTAAAACCCATCAAATGAAAGCTGTGAGTCTGCACTTAATTACATTATCACCACAATGTTTCCCACTGTTTAATTTTAATTTGATTCGGCGTTAATTTGTTTTTCGAAAAATGAGGATATTATGCAAATGTCCTGATGCTTGATTACACAACAGTGAAAAAATTCCCACCACGCCATCTGTGGTAAAAACTTTCACAAATCCATCCTTAACTTTTTGATCAACTTTCTACTGCAATATAACAACCAGCTAATGTTAAATCTAAAAATATTTGCTTTTGGTGTATTCATGGTGTGGAGGCAGTTAACCAAAGCAAGTATCACAGTTCTTATAAACAACATTAACATTAACATCTCTTCCTTATAATGAGCAATACTGTGTGTGAAGGAAACCACACAGGCTCACAATGTGTTACCCATATGCTACCACCAGAGGGTAGAACAGCACCACATAAAAGCAGTGAAGAGACACATGCAAACACACACACACACACACGCAGTCAGCTGTTTGTCACACACCCTGCCCGGCCTTATGTTCAGCGCACACAGAAGGATAAGTGCCTAAAATGTGAAAATTAGTATGGCAATGTAGGATTTCCCAGCTCAGATTAAGAAGACTGAGCGTTTTGTCGTTAACAGGCATCTTGCATGCTTAGAATTCCTTCAATAACGTGTCAGTAAAAGGCTCTGAGTAATTGAGGTGCTTTAGAGTGGGATGGAATTTGAGTTTGAGGAAGAGAAACGGACATTGGCTTCCCTTTCTCTGACTCCTTTGATTTGATTTACTACATTGTTTACTGGACTCTATGCCAGCATGTGAACCATACCAGGCTTGTCACATGAGTCATGAGAAGCCCTGAAACCCAGCTCACCACTGCAACAACCTCGAGTCTTTGTTAGACAATAATAGCCTTCACAAAGCTAGCCATGGGACAGTTCAGGAGTGATCTGCCTTGAAGATGATATTTTACAGTTCTGTCATCACCATTTTAGCTCTTATTCCTCCCTGTAAAGCAGACTGGGTATTATGCTTAGCTGATGCCTAAACCCTGAAACCTAATGGCCATTAGGGAATAACTCCTTGTTAGTCCATGACAAAATTACCCTATTGCTCTATAAACTTAGGAAACACTTTCCAGGTGAAACTCTGATCTCAAATGCTGGTTTCGAGTGTTATTAAAACCAAATTATATATATATTTTTACATTATGGTCCTCATTTGACTCACAAAGTAAGATAAAGCAGCTGGCCTCTTATGAGTGTGTAGTATCCCCTAGTTTCTCAATTAGAAAACAACAAGATGGCAACTGTAAAAAAAAAAAAAAAAAAAAAAAAGTCTGCTTAAAGTTTCACAACAAAACGTCGGTAACTAATGGGTGGCATCATCTTGTCTTAATCTTTGATACAGAGTCTATTCTTTTACACCGCCAGCCATTAGACCTGAAGAGGGCACATTAACTGAGATAAAGTGAGCAAAGGCTTATATATGAACAACTGAATTCAAATATGACACACAAAGTGCTGAATTGTGTTAAATGCCAAGTATTTGGTAGACTGAAATCCTAACGTCCTGGATCCTTGATTCAAAAAGCATCAACTTTTCTCCAAATTTATTCAGTCTGGTGCACTCCAAGGTTCCAATATAAAGATTACATACAAAAAACAATCCATTTAAATGCTGCATCAGCTTTCAGCTAGCTTACAATGTGCCAACTGCATCCTGCACCAGCACACACGGTCATGGCTGTTTTTATGAATATGGACTCGTCACTGACAATCATCAAAATGTAATTTTTGCCATTAAAAAAACCCCAAAAACCAAAACACTCCTGAAACACACTTTTGAGTCAAAGAATTTTTTTTATTTTTTTTTTCACCAGCTCACAGAAGGCTCTGTCTCTTCAGTGAACTGTGATCAAATCCGTTCCCTCATTTCTTTCTTTTCCACTCCAAACTAACAGTCTTCATGCCACACTGACAGGCTGTAGTATAAGGTCAAAGCTGCATAACTAACAGATATTTCCACGCAAGATTCTCAGCGTCTCTCCACTGGAGCCCACAAGTTTCCACATCACACTTCTGTAAGCTGCACACTGGACCTGCTTGTACCTACATGTGCTAAACTCATTTAAGGTGAGTGCAAAGAAACTTTCCCCTTTTCAGCAGACAAACGTAAAAACAGCCTTCTGGTGTCAGAACCGGCACATACGTCATTCTGCTGCGAAGTTCAAACATCCAAGTGGAGAAACAAAAAGCAAAGCACATTTTTGAGACCAAATTCTTCAGGATAATTTTCAGGATTCCCTTAAGAATCTGACCGATTTGTTGCACTAGAAAGATTCTGAAACTGAAGTTAAGCTAAAATCACTTCAGGCAATCTGAAATGGTGTGTAAAAGACGTGACTTAAATGTTTTATGGCATTTATAACACATGCTCCATGTGTCGCCACTGTGAGCACAAAGAAAGTCAATGTCAGTGCAAACTGCTCCTCCACAAAATTCAACAGATGTTTGATGTCACCAAAGCAATAAGGATTATTTCTGAACTGTGAATCATTCAATGTTACTGGAGGAGGAGAATGTTACAAAAACATTTCAAAGGATATGGGGGAGAATGTGACAGAGCAGAGATGTAACCAAATGAATTTTAGAAGCAAGTCTTGTCAGTCCAAAGCTCCTGGGTGGATTATTTATTTATTTCTTTGTTAAAGGCAAAGGGTCAGTTTAAAAACCTTTTCCACTATAGTCTAGATTTCTACTAGAGATATGTGAAGTCACAGTATGGCTGCATTAAAAGCTCAGTACAAGTGACAACACAATCAGTATCTGTGGCTCATCCCCACAACGCAATGATCTCAAGCCTTTAAATACCCTCAAATTAAGAGGCAACCCCCTACACTGAAAATTGAAGCGGGAAGTCTGCCTCCACAGACTTGAAACTTGTATTAAGCTCTACTTTCCACATGCTTCAGCACAACACACTCTTTGAGAGCAGAGGGAGGTTAACTACCAGGTTTAGTGGTACAGAAAGTCTCTCATAGATTTCCCTTCAGGAATAATTAAGTGCCACTGAGGAATAACAGAGTCTGTAGGTGTAACTGTTTGGTACAGTGTTGTCTGGTCTGAGTCTGGCGGTTCAGACCCACAGGTAGAGAGGACAAACAGAGTTCTGACCTGCAGACCACCCAACTGTGGAAACAACCACTGGATGTAAAAATGAAGCCCAGAGGCGGTGAAAGAAGTTTTCAAAGAATTCAAAGTATCATGTTTTGCAAAGCAGCAGCTTTCATGTTTCATACACAGTTTCTTCATTTTATTTTAACTTGATATTGCTCAAAGAATATCTATATAGTCTCTGACACTTTTATCTGTCAGCCTTAGATGAATTTTAGTTTGAGAACCTAAATGCAGGTAAGTTAACAAACACTATCAGTTAGGATAGATGCCACTGGGCTATATGATATAGTGAGTATTTTCATACTGACTACATTTTATTTGCAATATTTCCTTACTGAACTCCATCACTTGCAAGCAGATGATTGTTTCAAATGAAGAATTACAGCCATCTAACATCTCATATTACAGCTCACAGCCACCTGCAAAATCCCACAAACTGATCCCCGGGCTTATCTGTTCACCAGATTTCTGTTCAACTGTTCTTTAACAAAGCTTGAAATATTTTTCCAGCAAACATGGTGCAAACAAGACCTCTTTCAAACTTCAACAGCGAGAAGTAGGAAAAACAGAGACGGGGACAGCAAGTCCTGTGAAAAACAGTGAGAAGCAATTTCCACAGCCAAACACAAACCCACACACACACTGAAGACTCTGTGCAGACGTTAAGCTCAACCTAAACACAGCCTGTTCCCTCAGGTGTGTGTGAGAGCATGGAGAAGACTGAGGATAATTTCACGTTGCTAACAGAAGCTCAGTGTCCGCGTGTGCTGTTAGTCTGACTTCTAGGCTCTGTGGAAACACACACAGGCTGCTGTTTCTACAAGGCTCCAGCTCAACACCCACAAAAACACAAAGACCTGAACTCAGAAGCTCCATCCTGCAAATTCATGCCGTTAAAGGTGAAACACAGTTCACGCAAAGCTAATTCTCACCAGCTGGGAGACATAATGTAAAAACACCTCATGGATGCTTCCAAATGTAGCTCCAGCTTACCTCAATGCATTTGAGAATTTGTTCCTGTGGCCATTTTGACATTAATTTTCTCAATCTCTAGATTTTTATGGCTTAATGTATAACACACAAACGAAAATGCCTCAGGCAAGCCAAAATCTAACAGAGCTAAATCTAAATTAATTCTACTCAAGTCACACACATGTAACCTGAGAAGTTAATGAGAGGAATCTTTTTCCTCTGGACTGCACTTCCCTGTAATCATCTGTCAGTCAAACAGTATGAGGAAAGAGGTCACTTATCAGTGTGTG